TCTGTCTCTAATATGTAGAAAAATTCCAGTAAGATAAGTTTTTTGTAACTAGGAATAGTTTTGGAAATTTTATGCCTATGAAACTTTCTAGTAACGCATTTTATATTTCGCAAGTTTTACTTGGCATGCAACAATCCCAAGCTAGGGCTCGTGGATCGGCACCGAACGATTCGCTACCGAACATGTTCACAAACGATTTCCTGCCGATCCGCGAGCCCTAGCTTGAGGTTGTTGCACGCCTAGTCTGGACTAAAGACAAACGGGATGAAATTGAAGTTTTTGAAGGAACTAACCAACGAGAAAATAGACTAACTAGAATACAATGTGAGCGAATGCGTGTTCTACCGGATCGCTACCGAACATGTCGCAGCATGTGTTTCGCTGCCAAAGGTTTAAAAAACATAGTTTGTCAAAGCTAAGTACATCAGAGCGAAAAAACATATGAAAGAAATCTCTGTAAAACAGAAAAAATGGTGAAGATTACACCAAACGAAGGAGCAGCCACCCGGGTCGACGAAAACTGGCATTTAGTTGTCCATTAACAGCCTGTTAACTGTATGCCGAAAACTGGCCTGATAATTGTGTAAAAATCGAATGAAAATTGTCATTTAACAGCCATTATAATGACAATTTTTTGACTTTGAAGTAACGCTGAAAATAATGCCAGATTAGATAATGGCAAAAAACGGCCTAAAACGGAGTCAAATGTCATAAAAATGCCATTTAAATGCTTATTAACAGCGTATTAAATAGCATTTAATTGGCAATTAATTACACCATTTTCGACGTCCTGGGCATGATTACGCCGTAGCCGTAGGTAGTCATGTAAAGAAAAGTTTGAATTAGAGCAGCTACTTTATGTTTGCTTTATTTCAAGAAGTCCAAATTACCTTTAGTTTTCATTATATTTGATTTACCCTCTAGCTAAAGTATACTTTTACTAATGTGCCCTCTGTAGTACATTGATTTACTTTGTTTTCATGCAAAAATGCTTTTCCTCATTGTGCAAATTAAGTAGACAGAAAGTTGTAGCCCTAATTCAAATGTATTTTTATAAGGTTTATGATATTTTGTCCTAATAGTTTCTCAACAGAGCGCTCGCCGATATCTCTGATGAGAAAAATATAAACTATCGTATTTGTAATCTTCGTCCGAACACGTTCGGTCGCATCAATTTCCCAGAACGAACATGTTCGGTAGCGAATCGTTTGGTCACCGAACTATCGGATTAATGCATGCCTAGTTTTACTCTAACAAGGGACATCGCCGTTTTAAATGCTATTATACAGATTGATTGAGGAAAAACTTTTAGAGTCTCTAAGTTGTTTATCTATGCAGTGTCTTCAGTAAGGAAAACCGCGTTTTTTCAAATTGTCTTTTTTTTATTGAATTTAACATTTGTTTTTACTATCTCATATTCTTCTAGCCATTCTATTTTTTAGGTTGAAGTCGCTTTCTCTTTTCTCGTTACGACCGTTATTTTTTATTCAAGCATGGTTTGCTTCTTGTTATTGGTAGAAAATAAATATAGATAAATGCACGTGTAGACAATTTTGTTAAAGAGCGAAGAAAATGGGAACTTGGGAATCCAGAAAAACGACAAAAAACTTTCATATTCGATCGCCATGGGGATTGTGTTCCACGTTTCTAAGCTCAAACCTATGAATTTAAGGAACTAGCGTAAAAATACGAAGTACTATCTCTCACCAACGAGCTGTTTTACTATAACGCAGACTATATTTAACAAACATCACTTCACATAATCCAGATACACAAACGTATGCATGTTACAGATCTTTATACAGGGTTGTGCATAACCTTTTGCGAGGGAGGTACAGCTCTAACGACAAATGATATAGAAATGAATTATATATCAAACGAAAGGTCATCGAAATCGGGATTATCGAGTATAACTAGTAATCCATAGGTTGATTATGAGCTATAGAATTATGAAAGTTTCTATCGGATGCGTCATAATGAATGAGCCTCTTAGTATTTTCTACTTTTCTCGTGTTCCTTTAGGATCCTAAGAGTAATGTTTTTTTTGAAAGATGCGCCACGAAATACTCTACAAAACCATATTTAAACTGTAGTTTTAGATCTTCAATCAAGGGAATTGCGTAAATTATATGAAAGGCGAAAACACTGAAAACTTTTTGTATTGTATTTTTTCGACTTGAACTGTTTCCTTCTGCCATCATTTCCGTAAAAAGTGTAGCAAAAGTGAGCACTAGGCTCTTTTTGTACTTTTGAATATGCTCTTTCTCGTGGTCTGTAAAAAAATGTTTTAAAGTAGGTGGTGTGCTAGAGAACGAAGTTTCAAAAATTTCTGCCCGTTTGTAACAATATGCCCAAGCAAAAGACGGAAAACGCGACCGAATTTTTTTTTTTCTTTTGCAGTTAGGTAGTGAAGAGCAATCATTTCTGATCAAAACAAAACAAACCCGGTGGAAAAAGCTTTTGTTCTAATGAAGTTATGGGGCTTTCACTGAAAGCACCACTATACCCATAATTGACGCACCCATAGAAACTTCCATAATTATATAGCTGGAGTTCGTCTGCAAAGATCAAGTTCGTGTACTCGATTCTAGCTTCGTGCAAGGATTGATTTTGTGTTTTGATAGTTTAAGTTTCAGAATGATATAATGGGAATTTATATTCTCGATTTCGTTCTGGTTCAAGATTAAAGCTTAAACCAATTCTATAGCTCATAATCAACCTATGGATTACTAGTTATACTCGATAATCCCGTTTTCGATGACCTTTCGTTTGATATATAATTCATTTCTATATCATTTGTCGTTGGAGCTGTACCCCCTAGCAAAAGGTTATGCACAACCCTGTAGAAAACGGTGATCATCTTGTTGGGAACAGTTTCCTGTGCATAAGTGTTCTAAACTTTGTAGTACTAAAAGGTACACATTGACGAGTAACTACTAATAATTATTTATGATAAAACACAATGCTAAATTATTGGCTAAATTTGGATCATAATCAACTTATACAAAAGTTCAATATGTTAACGCGTATAGAATCAACACGAGTACTGTTTGATAAGCATTTTTTATATTACCCCAGTTTTCTTAAAACATTAGACAACTATAATGTGAATGTTGTATAATAATGAGAAACATTGACTTTTACTCAATGCTATCTGTTTCCAGTAACAAACGTTATTCTCTAATTTCAGTTACTTGTGTTGATACCGAAACAGATTTATCATGTATTGATTATCGAAAGTGAGACAAATAATCTGATATTCTGACCGTTAAACACTGTTTCGACTAATATGATTTATCGTAACCACATTATACTACTGATGTAAAGCGTAGTTAATTCCACGTGGCTTTTATACCGAAAATACTGTTTTGAGATAAAAACTAGTCATCTATCAAGGAGTTATTGTTCTTTCATTTCTATATTTAACTCTCATTCATTCACAACATTCTACGTTATCAAATTAAACTTATGACTTGTCATTGTAAGATCACTTTCAGCAATGCAATGGTGAAAAAACAACAACAGGTACACTATAAGTTTTGTGGAGATACGATAAGAACTTTTGGGAGAATGTGGTTTCTCTTTGTTTCTTGCTGCTGTAATCTTCTGGACAGACTTTGTCGAAAATCGGAAGAAAATCTTTTGACTGAGAGAGTGAAACAAAATCAAATAATCACGTCACACCTATCGTCCAGGATGAATTTCAGCATCCTACACTGGTAACGGTAGCCACAAGGCGGGGTATCCTTCCTTCTTCTTCTTCTACAGGGACATTCAGCAGGGAATTCTACTTTCCAAGCAGATTATTGTCAATAAGCTTTTATTCATAAGGTGTGTCTCTACATTATAAGAGTAGGTAAAACAAAGTGTGATTACAAAGATTAAATTTTCATCTATAATTTCTTTTTATCATATTCTTTTTCTTAGCAAGAAAAAGATACTGAAAAAATGAACACCAATCATAATGGAGAAAAAAGGTGAAATCACTTGTAGCTAAGTTTTTTTTCTCTAGCTCTAAAATACGAGTACAGTTTAACTTCGTAACCTTTCTTCATTTTTATTAACATTCTATATACGTAATCGTCGTCTCATTTCTCTACCTATTACATGTAAGCATGATACTTGTATTGTATAACACTGTTTTATTACATTAGCAATTGAAGCAAAACGCAAGTTCTTTTTCATCAGAAATATCTCATATATTACAGACTGTTCTTAGGTACTCATCCTTAGGTTTAGAACTTGATTCTACAGGAAACTTCTTTTCGAGAAACAGATTCAGATGACGTTTTGCTGTTTTTGCAAAAAACACAACAATTTTTTGCTGTTTTTTTATAGCACTACTTTATATAAAGCATAAAAGTTGGTTCGTCACTGCATTTTTCAATAAATAGAAACTACGGTCTTCTTTTTTTTCCAAAACTATTAAATAATTATTGTATTCTTTTTCTACGCTATCACTCATGTTTAAGCAATTTAGACACTGTCATTTAGTAATTTGTTGCTGGAGTAGTTAAACCGGACAGCTTATGCTTGATGGTACATTTTAGTTTCAATTACGATCGGAACTTTCTCGACAGACTGACTAGTAATTTTGAACAGAATAATGAACAGAAGAAACATATCTAAAAAAAAGACTATATATTATTGGGTACGTTCCAGTCGTATGTTAAAGTTTAGTTTTATCTGTTTACGTTCTAATACCAAATGACCTTTGTTACTTTTATATTTTGAAATTGAACAAATATAACATTAGCCTTTTCTATAGATCTTTCCCACTTAATTATCGAAGTGCTACTCAGAAGTGAATAAAATACAAAAATCTGTTTCAGAAGCTTTTTTTACTTTTTTATTTCATGTATCTTGCCTTGACACATCTATCTCTTATGATGCACCTGATCGAGAAAAAAGGTGTTTTTTCTTGTTTGGTCCGAAAAAGAACATTAGTAACGTTTTCTTTTATTCTTTATAGTTAGTGATTCAATACATACGCGGATATAATGGACGTTCTTAAAGCTGGTGCAGAAAAAGTTAAAGAAACCGTTAGTGGTAAAAAAACTGAAGAACATTTAGAAAAAGCGACTGATCCAAATCGTCCAGCCAGCGATCGTGTTGATCATGCGTTACAAGCTGGTAAATCGAAATTACAAGAAGACGAACATGCTGCTAAAGCAGATAGTCATGCTGCTGATCACAAATATAGCCATTAAATATTGACATTTTACAAATAAACTATAAAAAAATATATATTGTTTAGTGGCATCTCTGAATACTAATCAGGTTGTATCAGAACGCTACGAATATTAACTGAAAGTTTTATTTATTTCATTTTTAATCGTATTGTTGTAACAAAACTTTGTAAATGAATAAATATACGTCATCAATCAATGTTATCTGTAGCGAAAAAGATCGCTTTGGGTGAATTTAAGGCGAGCATTCGTTGTTTTTTTTACATGGTCTAATTCAGTTATGACAGCTAATGTTGAATCTGGCTGATTAATTCTTTTAAAAACGACTAATTGGAGGCTGAGAAAAGTTAGAATTACATGAAAATACGTTGTATTTTTGAAAGTCCATGCTTCAGTTCAGAGAACGAATTGCATGGATCTAAACATGAACGAATAGTTGTACAAAGTTTACATAAGACTTATACTTCAGCGAATTTAAGGAAATATTCATCTCCCTCATTTCTGAGTGATACATGGTTAAAGTCTCCGCTACAAAATGATCATTTCTGATGATAGAAATGCGAAAATGTACTTTCGTTAGCTATACTTGTAGCTGGTATTGCTAGATACTTTTTAACCAATGTTGATAATAATGGTAGCTCGCGACCATATTTTAACCAAAATAATGATAAATCATAATTCATTTTAGATATTATTGAGTACAGTATGAAAAATGTTACACTGGTAGCAGACAAAAACTACTACATCACATCACAAGCTGAACTTCCCCACCATGCGTTCTTAAACTTAAGAAGTAGATCAAGATCTTAAGAAGTAACGAACTAAAGTCAATCAGCAAAGTCTATCACCTAATCTGGGAGTCTCTTTGAGCATATCTCTTTTCAGTGCTCACTCTTTTAAAATTTTATGTTTGCCAAATGAAATACATAATATATCAACAAATCACTAAAGGACACTAAACAGTTTCCAGTTCAAAAAGAACTGTAGTTCCCGTTCGCAGGAACTGGAATTGGTGAACCGTTCGTCGTTTCTAGAAACATGAACTGCTGAATCGTTCCTAGTTCAGAACGGAAACTGAAAAACAGTTCCCACTATCCAGAAACTGTAGTACAAGGAACTCTGAACTGTCACAGGCCTAGATAAGTACTTCACCAAGTATTTGGCAGGTAACCTGGTAAGCACTTGCGAAATATATGCAAGTATTCAGAGTTCTTGCAAGTACTTGGCAGGTATTAAATCTAAAAATGCTTGACAAGAACTTAAACAAGTACTTCAGAAAATTTGCGAATAGCTAAGTACTTGATTTCAAGTACATTCACTAGGGCACATTCACTAGGGCATCACATTATAAGTAACTTACGTTAGAACTATAGCTGAGAGCTGCGTATCGACTCAGAATTCTGAGGCCAGTCCATGGTCTTGAAAGTTTGAGACCAGTCCAGTCCACTCCATACGGAACTCTGCTAAGGTCTCATGTAAAAATATGTGATGGCAATCGATGAAGTATCCCATACGTTACAACAAGCATTTCGCTTCTATGGCTTGGCTTATCCACGTAACGCCACACCTCAAGGATTAAGTCTCAAAATCTTTTTGCAAAGAATACGGTTATTACCAGATAACCGATTAGAGCGTGGTCGATAATCTACGAAAACACACATTTTCATTACAGAGAACCCCTAGGTGTGTGCGCGTAGGTCAAATAACAGGGCATAGTATACATTTCTCTATTGTGTTTTTCATAACAGTTATACCAACATATATTTTTCACGTGAACTAGTTTTACTAATAACAAAAGTTACCATTACCAACGAGGATTATTTCTGGTATGTTAATTGCTTTTTTCTTTCCACTATTCTTTTGTGGCATTGGTATTTATTTTACGGAAATACTTTACTATATTTTTTATAACAAACAATGGTCTCGTAGGTAACTTTTTACGAGCTATTATTCAACGCACTAACTTTTATTTAAAAAAGGTTATGTCGTCTAGGAGAAATGCGTAACGCTTTTCTTGGTTAATTGGTCTTGATGGAAAATATTGAAAAGAAAAATGTCGAAAGGAAAAATGTCGAAAAGGAAAATGTTAATAAAAAAAGAGCAAAATGTCAAACTCGAAAATGTAGAAGAGCAAAATGCCAAAGAGGAAAACGTCGAAAGTGGATAATGGGAAGAAGGAAAATATCGAAAGAAAAACATTGAAAAGGAGAAGATTCCTTTCTGTTCCTTGAAAATCACTGAGAGTAAGGTGTTCATCTGCTACGATGAACACTTCACCCTCACCCCACCCACTTAATACATCACTATGCAACTTGGTGCAGGGGGGACATCGATTTCAAAGTAATCAGGAAATACAGCAGCTTTTCAAGAATGATTTAATACACTCAATGGATGATTTCTGAATCAATCCAAAACAGCTGCTGGCTCGATTATCGTTGTTGATCCAGATAAACGAAAACTAGATCAAGATCTATTGGCCTTATCATTCCTCTTCTACTCTCTTTCTCTATATGATTTAATAAAATAGTTCTTTCAATTATTTTCAACGAACAGAAAGGAATCTTCTCCTTTCAGACGTTTTCCTTTCGACATTTTTCTTTTCGACGTATTTCCATTCGATGTTTTCCGTCAACCCGTTCAGATTGACCATTCAATTTTTCAGAGATTTGGGTATTTTCGCACATACACATACGGATGTGACTCATCACAACTTGAACTAAAAATTCATAATAAATTTACTTTTTAGCAAAATGTCACCAAAATATGTTAGAGATTGTCAAAAGTTACTTTTAATACGAGAAAATGCTTTTCACAAGAAAGCGGATCGAAAACAAGTTGATAAATCATTTTTTGAAAATTTAGCTGAACAGCATTTTTTGCCGAACAAAAGGAACATTCGATAAAGTTTTTTTACCAATGTGTAGATCATCACGCCAGCTGCAAATTGTACCATCAAAAGTTATCTTTTGATAACTTTTGATGCACACATTCGCAAGAATTTACTCATCTTTACCGCTCTACCGAATTTTTAGGGTCTTCCTTCGTAACACCGTTACGCTTGGTATTTTTGTTATAAAAAACTGCAATTCCTTTTCTTACTATAAATACTGATAAGACTGCTGGACACAAAACGAAGAGTAGAAAACTCAGAAAAACGTAATAGTGTTACGTTTGGACAAGGTGTCTAGTCATTTCAATGTATAGCCTTAAAAAATATAGACAAATCGTGTATCGCATACTTCATTAAGATTTCTTATTCGGCGTTGTTATTCAATTCTTGTTTGATTAATGACCGATCTCTAACACATATCTTAAGAGAAAGTTTTATTTTCAGAAATTCTTTCAAGAAAATTTGCGTCTTCTGTGAAAACTTGAAAAAATAAGTTGGAAAACCATTATATAAACTGATTGATCCAAGTATTATTAATGTGAACTATTGATACACAATTTTTCTCCTTTTTTTGCAAAAAAGAAGCATAAATACAAACAAGAAAGCAGTATGGTAGAAAAGAGAACTATACACAAAAAGAAGTGATTATATAGTAAACTACATTTAGACAATCTATAAGGGATGTTTAAATGAACACAAACAAAAAATGAACTGAAAATAACACATTTCTCGATATACCCACAGTTGTTTTTAGAAAATTCTCTTTTTCTGGGAGATAGAAAAATAAGGAGACTGAGAAGTCGTTTTTTACAATCATGAATCTAAAAAACAATGGGGTCTAACGATCAACTCTCATGTAATAGAATAGAAACAAACTAAACTATTCTAACTACATAATAACTTACCATTCTCTAAAGTCAAGGAATTAAAGTGAACAGAATTGAGAAAAAAAAAATATATTTTTGTCAAAATGTAAAAAAATGAAGTTTATATACGCTTGGATAAGATTACTAATATAAGAACATTTTGTTTGTTTTTGTCTTCTTTGATATTTATTTTCAACTAGCATCACCTCTCAACTCTTGAACAGAAAGTGAAAATGATGGTGGTAAATTCGCCATACCAAATGTGCCTAAAATGAGTAAACGAAAGGTGTGACTAATCAGTTTTATTTAAAAATGTATCCCATTATTATACGTCTAAGTTCTTCACGTCACATACAAGAGATCGGCTGAGATCAAGACGTTATGAACGGGAGAAAAAAAGTTGTTTCTGATGTGAACGATTTTATTCAAATACACATGCTTTCCTCTCAAAAATGTTCGGATTTATAGTTATTTGGATGGTGGACTACGTGCATTAAGTGCACAGAAAGTGAAAAAATATGATTTCAAAACTGTACTGTTAAGATTGCTGAGAAGCTCATGAACATTAAAAGTTTGAGACAAGAAATGCATTAGAAAAACACACAGAAAACTAATCTGTAGTTTGAATAGCCAATATTTTCGTCAAATAAAATCAAAAAGGGGAAATCATTCACGTTTTATGGAACTAAACCGAGAAAAACATGGATCCATTAAAAAATCCCACTTTCAGTTAGGAATCGTCCGTAAAGTAATATGACGCATATTCAGCTTTCAAAAACTAAAAATGTTTGAAACGGTATGTGGCCAAGCGACAAAATTGTTGCAAACATAACATAAAAAAGGTCAATCATTTATAGATTTTTCAAGTTTTTTGTGTTACCAATTCATTGGATGAAAGTTTTAAATTTGAACAAGAATTAAATCGGATCTCATTTCGTGTTTTCATTTTTTTTTATGCCCAATTACAGTTAAAGAAATATTCAAAAGTTTAGAGGTCTCTAGTCTACTGCATGAAAAACGACTTTTATACTAACAAATAGTGCATATCATTATAACTGTAACAGAGCATAAAAAATGGAAACAGAAAATAAAATCCCGTTCAATTTATGTTTAAACTTTATACTTTCGTCCAATCAACTGGTAACACAATTAAATTCGTACTTTTGCAGGAAATCTGCAAAATGGTTGGATGAGTGAGTCATCGTACACTAGGACACAGACAAAAAGCCACTATGAACATTTTTAGTTTATTTGAAGAGAACATTCTGTAAGAAAAGTATGGACGGATTGCTCTTCCCATGGGAAATTTTGCCGAAATTTCACAACGTTGGAGTCGTGCAGTTACAACATCAAACGCGTGGTCACGTATGAACTTTCTATAGTTTCGCAAGCAAGAACTTCTTTTCACCCTTATCCACATATCATTCTATGACTTTCACTAGTGACCACGTGCGAAAAGTTTCCGTGAACAGTTTACGCGTTGTCACAAGTCGAATATATGTTTCACGCGTGCTCACACACTGTTTTACGATGTTCACGTGTAACCACAGTTCATTTCACGATATTCATGGATGTACACGCCATTTTATATACTAAAACTTCCCCACGGTCTTAGCGTTTCTGGTCTCAGGCATACGCTATGATCTTTTAGTAAATGTAGCACGGGGACACCAAATACCGGAAGCATTAGAAATTGCATCCTAGCGAAAAATGACTGTATAGTTGAAAAAAGTTTCCTCGGAAGTCATAAACAGTGCAACATACCTTCGTGTGGATCTGGTATTGAACCACATTTTTCAAACTTAAAATGATATAATAATGTTGCCAATAAACCAGTTAAAATTGAAAATAGATATTTTTCTGCAATACATTGTCTTGGTCCAATACCTATAAACAACAATTAAATCTTGAAAACATAGAAACTAATACACTATCTATTTTGAATGAGCAGTTGGAAATAAAGTTTTAAATATAAAGTATAATACTGCTATGAAAAACGCGTTAATAAAAGTCTTGTGAATTTACTTTAAATACTCGAGCTTTCGATCACAATTTAGATCATTTTCAAGAGTGAATGACAAAAAGAAAAGAAGGAGTATATGTATAAAAATACATGCAGAGCTAAAGAAGAAGTTTGGAAAATTCAAAATACCCAGCAATGACGAAAGAAGAAGATAGGAAAAATCCATAATAACACATTAGAATGCGCGTTCTGTTTTTCGCGTGAAGATACAGTTCTACGAACATTAGAACACGCATTCTAATGTGTTATTATGGATTTTTCCTCTCTTCTTCTTTCGTCATTGTTGGGTATTTTGAATTTTCCAAACTTCTTCTTTAGCTCTGCATGGATTTTTATGTATATACTTCTTCTTTTCTTTTTGTCATTCACTCTTGAAAATGATCTAAGTTGTGATCGAAAACTCAAGTGTTTAAAATAAATTCAGAAGAATTTTATTAACATGTTTTTCATAGCAGTATTATACTTTATATTTAAAACTTTATCTATTTTCAATATTTTTATTCCTAAATACCATATTTCTTAACAAGTTTATCTAAGAATGTACTTAGAACTATTTAAAATTTAGTATTTAGTAGATATTCCTTCTAATTTGTTGTTTTATTTTTCAGAGTTACAGATTGATGTGCATATTCTGATTCGAATTATAATAAAATTAGATTTAACTACGTACCGAATGGAGCATAAGAATTTTGTGGTGTTTTTTCTGCATTATCTCCAATCCATCTTTCAACTTTGAATTTTGTTGGTTCACTCCAATGTATTGAATAATGTAAAGCATAGACATTTGCTCCGAATAATGTTCGCTTTTGTAGATGATAATCACGCCATCTAAGATCTTGTAATGTTGAATGAATAACAATAGGCACAACAGGTGATACTCGTAAAACTTCTTTGACAAATGCTTGACAGTACGACAATTTTTCTGCATTTTTTAAATTAAATTTTGAATAATTCTGAGATCTAAACATAAGAGGAAAATGACATGATATAGCCTTCACTAGAATGAAAAAAAGATACCATTCTTAACATGTGAACATTCAGTTGTAGAATCTTCATTAGTTAGTCTCATAATTTTATCACCAATATTTAACTAACTTTTCGAGAAAAATGAATAGAATCTAATTTGAGCTTTGCTAGTAAAGTAAAAAAATCTCATTTCATTCAAAATTCAACTAAATAACTTGGAAGTTTTCAAGCTGTCATCAGATAATTACATTATATGCTCTAAATGTTGAAACAAAACGTAGAGAGTATCTTTATCTAAAGATTTCTGAAAATTTTTCAGAAAATTACTTAAAAAGAAAAAGGATTTTACTTTTTGCCTCCATTATCATCCAAATAAGGTAAAAGAGAGTATATATGAAAGTTTCAAGTGATTTGGTTGAATTTTGAATGAATTTTTATGGCTTTTCATTTTTTAGGCGCCCGGCTAAAACTAAATTATTCAGATCGATAGCTTATGTTTTCCCTCATTTTCAATGAAGATGAATCAGAACTAGACCTAATAATCTCAAGAAACCTAATGGCATGCTTCAATCATGAGGAATAAAGCACTCAGATTTTTGTTAATCTGTACGAGACACATTCCGCACTATCTAGTCACGTACGAGGACATATAGTAACTTTTTGTCTGGATGATTCTTCAGTTACACCTTGTTTAGAAAAGATACTGAGTCTTTTCTTTTTTCTTAGTAAGTTGTTTCAAATTTTAGGCTATAAAATGCCGAAAAAATACAATAATTACAATACAATACAATAACTAATAATTATAAATATGGATAGTATAGAGAATAAATCAATTCTAAGAATTAGCTATTAACTTACTTCGCTTCATTTCTCGCTCGATCGGCTTCTTCTGGATGTCGCACGACATACAGTAATAGCCATGTTAATGCACCTTTTAACATTTCGCTTCCATGCATGACAACATCGAGTAACATGGCAGCTACATCTTCATTATCAATATGTGGTGATGATGTTGGAACAACTTTCAAAATAGAATCCAATATATCACCAGAAGATGTACTTGTGACTGTTGAATCACTAGTATCTTCATTTGGATGTCGTTCTTTCACCCATTGTTGAATATAATTTAAAACAGTATCATTAATATCCAATGTTTCTGAAAGACCGGTTAGTTGGGTTAATGCTGTTTTCGATGTTTTAGCTACCGTATCTTCATGAATTGTTTTACTAATTTTATATAAATTATTTGTAAAAGTTTCAAACACTTTATCATCATATTTAAATGTACGATTAATACATAATTGAGTTAAAATATGTAATGCAAAATTAAATGTTGAATGTCGAACATCAAATTTAGATGAATTTGAAATCAAATAGGAACGAAATTGTTCAAATTGTCCTTGTATAATCTGATCTAATTTATTTTCAGTCAAAACTTCATCAAAACATTCGACTAATGAACGATGAATTGTTTGTCCATTATGGTCATAATGACGAAAGACAATACCTAAATTATAAATAATGAGTACAGACAACAATTAGTCCAATTACTACCGTAACTACGTAAACAATTTACAATAGAGAAGCAATTTCAACTTTGCAGTTGAGTTTCTTTTTGGTGGAATTGAAGCAAAACTGGACAAGTCACAAGTCAAGTCAAATCACTAAAAAAACTTTCAAGTCATCCCCCATGAAATTTTTGCCTCCAAGTCAAGTCTGGTTAAAATTAGGTAGAACATAAAACTTGCTAACACCTTTTGAGTGAGAGAGTTTTTATAGCCTCGGAAATTCTCTTTCATGGTTGAAAGTCTAATTTAAACTTATTTAATATCTCTTACTAGAAATGATTTGATATGAAAAAAAAATTCTCAAGTCAAGTCAAGTCATAACCCCAGAAAATTTTGGACCAAGTCAAATTAAGTCTGACTTGGACTTGAGGCATTTTTGACTTGACTTACCCAGTTCTGAATTGAAGTTATATTTTAGCGATTCTGAAGCTGAGTTGAGCTCACAGTTTTTCAACCCAAAATCTTTATAACTTCGACATCCCTTTTACTTTTTTTTTATTATAGTACATCAAGATTTTTCGTTCTACAGACAGCGTCGATAGAGAGAATGTTTTCACAGGAAGTGAAAACAAGTTTATATTTTAACATATAAAGTAAGAAATAATTCTCTAGTATACCTGTACGTAAATGTTTTCCTGGTTTATATCGCAGTTGATTTTCTAGATAACTATCGATCTTATTACTGCATAAATCTGCTCGTCCAATAAATATTTCATTAATTAATGATGGATCATTTAATAGCACCACTCTGCCAATATGTGTTATAACTGTACACAAATCCGGGTAATCGTTTGCTAATACTAATAAATTTTCACGTTTTTTACGATGAAACGATATTGCATCGGATATATGCCGCCAATCACGTGGACCCTTCGGATAACGATAACGATTTCGATCATATTGCCATTTTAAACCGATAACGATGACAATAAGAGCTATATGGATAAAAAAACTTGACATATAATTCCACAATGTAAATTCTTCAAGGCCACTCGTGTCTGTATCAGATACCTAAGCAAAAGAAGAAAAACAAACATATACTATTAAATAGTAGTTCAAGAATGATTAGTGAATCTTCCATATTTTTTGTTAGTTTGTCTTTGGTATAAGAGCTCATTTACCATACACTACGAAAGATCCTCACAATGTCGTGTCGGAGAATTAGAACATCATATCATCCATTCTTACCGTTGTTTGAACTGCCTCTTGTATAACATCTGCTACTTTGCCACCCACTTTCCCTATGCCACCAGCAACTTTTTCCACATTTTCAACTACTTTTGATACATTTTCCACTATATTGGGCATAATATTATCGACCATTCTTTTAAGTTCGTTTAGTTAGAATTCAAAATCTAGAATACAATATGCTTTGAATCAATAAGAGAGGTGAAAGTTCATCACACATCCACTTCTGTTTATCTTTAACTACAAATGATTGAAAGAAAAAAAATAGACAACACTATTCTTTCTGTAGTTTCATTTAAAAAAAGTTGAATTTGTACTCTGTACCATTACATTAAGTCATTATACTAATATCACGTCAGTTTTAAATTGATTCTGAGAAGTATCAGAAGATAAAAAGCCTATCTTGAATGGATAGTTGTCAAAGAAAGAATTACAAAACTCTACAGTCATCATTATAAAGAGCAAGATCATTCTAAAAAACTTATATCAGTTATTATCTGTACTTTGATCTGTAAATAAAAGTAGATGATTAAACTAGATGCCAACTACCCTACGGGCAGATTGGAAACCCGATCGAGTGAAACATATCTTAGAAACACTTTAGACACCGCTTGAATCTCTTAAATACGGTTAGAACACTGCAGTGCTCTAGTAGTAAATATATGATGTATACTGTCGGTAATAATGTTTCAGACCATAAATGCACAAAACTATACAGAAGTATAGACTGATAAGAAGCACGTGACTACTTAATGAATCACTATTCATACTGTATGTATATGAAGTGTCACGTGACAATTAATTATCTCATAGAAACGTTATTGAAAATATGCTCAACTTTTAAGACTCATTACTTAATAACTAAAATATATATAGAAAAAATAACATCAGCGGTTTCATCTACCTCTCTTGCACTCTCGAATGATCTTTTTCCCAAATCGGAACGATTAGTGGTAGCTGAGAACGAGTGGCTGACTCGAAGCAGAAAGCAGAGTGTGGAAGAAAGAAGAATTTTTTGTAGTGAATCAGAATAAGCCTCTCCGAGTTTCACTCGGTCGGCTTAATAAGTGAATAGTACTAATTCACCCCTTACAGGTGTTATGTTATGTTATGTAAAAGGAATCGATTTTTTGGTACAACTAAAACGTGCTACAATGAAAAATTCTCCATGTTGAGAACATACTGAACTCTACTAGATGACTGTTGTTGATTGGTTGTCTCATGTGGTTGCACACTTTATTTTTTTGACTTTCAAGCATTATGAGAGATATTGAAAAATGAAATTACTTTCCGCAGATAGATCAAGCTTAGATTTTAGATAATGAGTTACAACTTTAGTTAAAGATTTTGTGAAAGGTTCGTTCTTTAATTCTTAGCAGTTATAAGTTTATTTTTATAGGTGGAATCAAGTGAGTAGCATTTATTCATGTCGCTTTTAAACTAAAACAGTTGTTCGATGGAAGCGATGCTTTTACTATACTATCGTAGACTTCGAGGGATTTGCAACGGGAGCATCAACTAGTACACAGCACGACTTGTTGTAGTTTAAATCTGTTTTTAGAACATATCTGTAGACTTTGGTTACTTTTTGAGTAGACGTTGTGTAACTATATTCTTTTGTTGCTACTTACTGGGAAAAAATCTAGGAAATCCTGCGATAACTCGCGAGGAAAACAACAATCCTCGGAGATTTTTTCTAACGTTCAAGAGAGGAAAAAAATTTATGCAAGTTCCTCTAAAACATCCGGGAATTTTGCACTTTGTGATCTTCGATGACAATTTTCTTCTGTGGTGGATGTATGGAAAAATATGATGGATCAATTTTTTTCCTATAGTGAGAATTACAACTGAATTTCTCGTCCGATCTCGTGAGTAAACTTGCAAGCATAAAATATGGCAAAATGTCAACGTTCTTTTGTATTATCGCTAGTTCTCGTGAAAAAAGATCACGATTTCAAGATCAAGCTTTCTAAATACAGAACCTGTGGTATAAATTGTAACATCGCGATCTTTAGATTGGACAATCGAAATCCAACTTGTAGCAATTTTTCAGTTTGTTTTAATATTTTATTAATTTCTCTGTCTATCCGATGCTGAAGTTGTATGATGAGCTCAACACTTTTTTCAGTATCAAACCGCGATATACTTGATTAGTTCTAACAGTTACAAAAAGCATACAAAGTAATAGATTCTGTGTTCTTATGTATCATATCTTTTGTAATGCAATATTGACCTACAGGTGCCTTGTGAGATCTCAGTGGATAAGTCACAGAGTAAAAATGACGTCACATTGGAATTCTAAAGCGTTTAAGAAAAGAAAGATGAAAAAAGTTAAGCAATCTGATCAATTTACAATTTCATTGTACCATTTTAGAAAAAAAAATAAGCGGAAAGAAATTTACGAATAAAAAGAAAATGAATCGTATATTTTGTTGTACTACGTGAGAGATGAACAGGTCCCGACTACCATTATCAAAATGAACGAGATACGTGAGTTTCCAGCAGTACAACGGTTCGCGTGCTTGAACAAGCATACCCTGGCAAACAACACGTACTGAAATCGATAGCACATCCGACGATGAATCGATTAAGATATTAGAAAGTATGATTTACCTTTCGACTTGGTCTACATATTCACAAAATAATCTCGCATGATATTTTAACGGTAAATTGTACTTTTTTCGTGAACAATAAGTCTCCAGAAGATGGTTTTTTCACCAGTAGTAGACCATAACGACTTGACAAAAGGGGCAAAGTTTTGTCTCAAACGGTTAGAAAATAAAGGAGTTTACCATGTTGTAGCGTCTTTCGCCGGCTCTCAACTGAGAACACTTTCAATTTTTTCCGGTGAATTCTGTGGACGCAGCACCAGTTTTAATCTCATGTGACAAAAATCTGAAAAGTGTATGTGAACGCAGTTTTCGTCAAACTTGCCGAGAAAAGTGTCATGAATCGGTGAGGCAGTCACATGTTCAAATAGCTCGATGTGTCTACTACAAATTAGGCGATTAAGTCCGATCAAAGACTCGAAACAGAACTGAGAAAAAAGGATTTTTGACCAACCGGTGGCGCTAAAAATCAGGATTTTGTACATTGCGTACCGAAAATCTCAGAAACAGCTTGATAAAAAGCTGTGATATTTTCGTAAGTTACAATAAAACAACAAAGAATTTTTTAAATTTGTTCACTGAAACTTGATTTATTTTTTGTTTACATATCTGAATCAAATGGTACAATGAAATTACAAATGGCTCAGTTCTTCTACTGCATTCTCACACACTAAAGCAAAATAGTTTTCTTTTCTTGAAGAGAATATATTTCATACATGAAGTACAGACATCTAATAGTCATAACTTCACGCTTACTTCACGCTTTCTTTCTTTTCATAAATAATGTAACTATGCAATCAATACAATATAAACTTTATGTTAGTTTCACACGTATCCTTCATCTTCAAATACAAAGAATACCGTTTTAAAAAAACATTAAATTGATTTTTAATTGACGGTATGTCAAAAAACCAATCTGTGAGACGACTGTGAGAAGATGAAATCGAAACAAGCGTCCTGAGTGGGACAAGACAAAAGCTGAAAAAATCAATTTTTTTGAAACGTACTTTTTCCAGTATTTTGGACCTAGAAGCCGGTATTATAACTTGCCTCAAAATAAAATCTATTATTTTGTACAATTAATATATAAAAGAAAATTTTAAACCCCTCGAAGGGTGTTTTTCTGAGAGACAAATGCGGGAAATACCTACGGGGAAATTTTAGTATATAAAACGGCGTGTACACCCGTAAACATCATAAAGTGGTGTGTGGGCACGCGTGAACTGTTCACGAAAACGTTTCGCGTCATATTTTTCGCACGTGACCACTAGTAAAAGTCATAAAATAATGTGTGGACACGTGTGAAAAAAAATTTTCGCTTGTGAACACATGTGAAATTATCAAAAGTCCACACGTGATCACGTATTTGATATTACAACTGTACGACCCAAGCGTTGTGAAACTTCGACAAAAATTCTCCATGAATATTGCCCGGTTTTTGTGACCAAAATCCAAGAAAATACTTTTTAGAAATCGATTCAGATTGGTCTTGATGGAAAATGTCGCAAGGAAAAATGTTGAAAAGGAAAATATCGATAAAAAAAAGAGCAAAATGTCCAACTCGAAAATGTAGAAGAGCAAAATGCCGAAAAGGAGAAGATTCCTTTCTGTTCCTTGAAAATCACTGAGAGTAAGGTGTTCATCTGCTACAATGAAACGTCTCACCCTCATCCCACCCACTGAATGCATCACTATGCAACTTGGTGCAGGGGGGACATCGATTTCAAAGTAATCAGGAAATGCAGCAGCTTTTCAGGAATGATTTAACACACTCAATGTATGATTTCTGAATCAATCCAAAACAGCTGCTGGCTCGATTATCGTTGTTGATCCAGATAAACGAAAACTAGATCAAGATCTATTGGCCTTATCATTCCTCTTCTACTCTCTTTCTCTATATGTGATTTAATAAAATAGCTCTTTCAATTATTTTCAACGAACAGAAAGGAATCTTCTCCTTTCAGACGTTTTCCTTCGACATTTTTCTTTTCGACGTTTTTCCATTCGACGTTTTCCATCAACCCGTTCAGATTGACCATTCAATTTTTCAGAGATTTGAGTATTTTCGCACATACACATACGGATGTGACTCATCACAACTTGAACTAAAAATTCATAATTCGATGGAAACTGGATATAAAAAAACATCGTGATATATGTACGCAATTTCATCTACTCTAAAAAAATGACCAATCTAAAAAAATCCGTTTGTAAAAATTATTTTTTTTTTATTAAAAATAAATAAAGATTAAATTAAACTAAACTAAAAATTACCTTTTTAGAAATCGAACAAAACTAGCTTTAGCCACTCAAAGTTATCAAGCATTCTTAGTGACGCGCTTTGTTTCACAATGTTCTCTATTATAGCGGATACTATTAATCGACCGTTTTCAATTGCTCGCCATAATACAGAACATCCCAGAATAAACATCATGTTGCAGAATATTGTGAGAAAATTTTCCAATATAAATTCACCATTTCTCGCAATATTAAGTGGCAAAGTGAGAAGGAAGTGATATGACTTTCCCAATGAAAAAAATAACCTATATTTTCTTCAAAAAATTTTTTTATTTTTTCAAATCATTTGAAAAAACAAAATTTGTTTAAACTGACTCGATCTTACCTCTGATCTATATTACATACTGTACCTTACTCTGTTTATAGATCTTCATTGCGTGTAATCAGTCTTCAATTGGATAAACAAAAATAAATAATACATTTTTTTCCTCAGTATACTAAAAAAAACGTGTTCTTCGTGTTTTCAGGGAACGAGTTGAAGATCTTGTTTAAGTTCTTTGAAATATGAAGAACTTAATTTCTATTTTTCAATAAAAAATGAATTTTTCACTCATTTCAGTTTTTCGGCTCATTTTAATTTCTCAGAAATTTAGTTTTTCAAGATTTGGAAAACACAATATTTTTTTTGAGTTCTCGGAAGATTCTCGAAGTTTAAAAAGGAAAAGGAAATCACATATTTCAATCACCACTTTTGTTTTGCAATTTCTAATATATATAACAGATATGATCTTTTCTTACAGAAGCTTAAACTTATTCTCAAAAAAATTCTATTTATGTACAACAATGTGCACACTTCGAGAACATGTTTGTCTTGACAACAGAATACTAAAATTCGACTCGAATCCAGCGAGTCGAGTACCTACGATGTTTGGAACCTGATTCCACGGGGATCGAACGAGATTCCAAATGACGGTCGAGTTAGAATGTGGGTTAAATAATTTTCTGTACTTGTGCAGGTTTCCAGTTGTTGACAATATTTATACTGAATAAAAGAATAATTCTACATATGATCACAGATATCGTATTGATTAAAAAAGGTTGGCCGGTGAAACGAGGAATTAAGATCCAGATTTTTGAAAAACTCTCAGGACAGAAATATGTTTTTCGATCTTATGTTTTCTGGAAAATAAATGTCCCAAATACGGATCTAAAAAAATGAAAAATTCAATTTCTGTCCTTCCGGAAAATGAAAAAATCAGTTTTGCAAATTTTCAGAAAACTCACATTAGATCCCTATTTGAGACAAATGAAAAACACACTTTCAGTTTTCTGACGGAATTTTCTTTTTTAGAGTGTACACTTGTTAGAACAGCGAAGTAGTCAACTATTCGTCATTTTCAGTTGTTTTTTTTTCGAACAGCAATTTCCATGAAGACTTTAAATATTGAGTACAGTACCGAATAAATGTACTTTTGATCACCAAATTCTTTAGATACAAATGATCACCAAATAAAGATACTTTTGACCATCAAATTTTTCAGCATGCATCTCACATTTTTATTTCTCAACAAAGTATAATGTACAACACAAACATGTTTATTCAGATTTTAACCAAATGAACAATATTTTTACAGTTTTATTTATATCTATTTAAAAAACTTAAAGCTGTGCTAACTTTCTTGAGACGCCCTTTCACTTTTCGTTTGCCTGGTTGAATACGTGTTTTATCGCTAACTTGATACAAGTTAAATAAAATTGCTAATCCAACAGAATGTTTACATGAACTATACATAAGAATAGCCAAGACATATCTGTCCGTCCTTTTGTTCGGAACGCTCCCCAGACACTAAACTCTGCCAATGTACTGGGTAAAACCCAAAACGCAAACGACTATAAAGCTTGACCAGAGGGTAACTGGGGGTGGGGAATCCGAATCCGATATCAGAAATGAGTTATTAATTAATATACAAGTTAATAAATCAGCTATTGAAAAATGAATTTCCGGATAAGGGCTGACCGAAGGTGATCGAGGGTGCTGAGCTCGAATCCGATGTCAGAAATGAATTATTAATTATTATTAATTAATATACAAGTTAATAAATCAGCTATTGAAAAATGAATTTTCGGATAAGAGTTGACCGAAGGTGATCGAGGGTGCTGAGCTCGAATCCGATGTCAGAAATGAATTATATACATAAGAGTAGCCAAGACCTATCTGTCTGTCCTTCTGTCCGGAACGCTCCTAAGACACTAAACAGCGCTATCTATGGGGTAAAACCCAAAACACAAACGACTTTAAAATTTCACCAAAGAGTAACGGGGGTGAAAAGCAGCACGAAGCGAGTCCAGGCGCCACTCCGATCGGATGAGCTGAGATTGAGAGAAGACCGGGCAATGTATTGAGAGATCGATGAACAAGGAAGAAGACAAGTGAGAGAAGAAAGAGGGAGAGTTCAGCGATCGGATGAAAAGGAAGTCCGATCAGAATGATCAAAGTGAGAAATCTGCTGTAACTAACCGAAGTCGAAACAAGATATATCGTATGCGTTGAACGGGCGCGAGGAGAGAGCGCGGAAGTCAATGACAGTGAGTGCCGTCACAAGGGAGGTGGGCAATCCGAATCTGAGATCAGATTTCAATTAGATAAATATCCTAATTAGGCTAATTAGCCGATAAGTGCCAATATAATAATAAGAAAAGGCCAAAAATATGGTATGGTGGCTAAATCTTGAAAAGAAAAATCTCAAAAATTTTGCCGCAAACATTTTTAGAAAATATACAAATTCTGTGCGTCCGTGGTTTTCCACGGGTTTTTTCTAGTAAACTAATAATAGTACAACAAACCAACAGGATTGTTGTCACATGAGAAAACTATTGAATATAAGTCACCGACGAGAACGATAAATACCTAGCCAATGATACATGCAATAGTTTTCTGGTGTGGCAAAATATTCTCCTGACTTGTTGTACCATTATTAGTATATTCGTGTAAACTTCTGTTGGATTAGCAATTTTATTTAATTTGTATTAAGTTAGCGATAAAACAAGTATTCATCCATTAGGCAAGCGAAAAGTAAAAGGGCGTCTCAAGAAAGTTAGCACAGCTTTATACATTGATTCTGTATTTGTGATTTGAAATATATGGTAAAATCCTCCTGTATTGAATATATTCTATGATTCAAAATAAGTTTCTTCTGAAAAGAAAACTGTATTAGTATGTTTGAAGAAGCAAAGATTTTATTATTAAAAGAAGAAAACAAAAACAATAAATAATATAATTCAATTGTAGTGTGTACAAATAATAACGTTTGTTGTTCAATTAGCCGTCAATTATTTCCTTTTCATCGGTTTTGGTTAGAACTTTATGTTCAATAGCTGGATAATGTGTAGTGTTATAATCCAAATGAACATATGCTCTATCAACCTCGTCAATTTTTTCTAGTCTGATTTGTAATTCAGCACCAATATCATGTGCTTCTTGTAACTCCATATCAGGTGGTAAAACAACATCAACTTCGGCTAAATATCCTGTACCAAAATGATATGCATTTACACTATCAATTTTTGTTATATTCGGTGATGTATTATAAATATAATAAATCAATCGTTGAACAAATGCATGTTCAGCAACTAAACCACTCAGATGTCGAACTTGACCTTAATCATAAGAAAAACAAAAATAATATATAATACATACTATTATTAAGATTTTGTTCACATACGATTTGCTTGTAGTATCCATGCAATAATAATATAAACAGAAATTACAATGGCTCCCACGGGATCTAACACCACTAATTGTTCTTTGATCTTGTGTTTTAATGCAAATGATGCTAAAATAAAAAAGATAATTTATTTTATTTATTCTACTTATATATTATAATACATACCGATTAGACCACATCCTAAGGCAACAATATTTGATGCAACATCATTTCTATGATCTTCAGCAAGCGCATACATTGTAGGATTTTTAACACGATAACATAGTACAAATAAAATTGCTTTTGATACTAAATTAAAAATACTAATAATAGTTCTAATTCAGTTTTTGTTTCAATTTATGTATTTTTTTTTTTATCAATTAAAAAATTTACCAATTGTTAAAACCATGGCTGTAATCGGCATAGCACTCATATTCATATCTTGTAAAGTTGTTGAATTTGTTTCAAAATATTTGACATCTCCAGCTAGTGTTTCAGCTGATTCAAAAATAACTTCAACAGATGCTGAACACATGATAACAGATAATATAATAATGGCTATTGGTTCTAAACGTGTACGACCTATTATAATAGAATAATAATCAGTATATAATGTTGATTTTATGAATTTATTAAATTGAATATTTATTAATAATATAGTATAAATACACTATTTATTAATTTACCTGCTGGATATAAAGAATTATCTGCTCTGTTTATTTTATGTTGTGTGTAAATTAAAATAACACTTGTTAAAAGATCAACGACACTATCTACAACACTCGATATAACAGATAATGATTTTGATATGACGGCAGCTGCTATTTTAATAATAACCAATATCTAATATAATAAAGAAAATAAATAGTTCATTATTAATTAAGAAAATAAATAATAAATAACTTACAATGTTCACGATAAGGGTTACAATTGTTAATATTTTAATCATTCTTGCTTTATTTTCCGTCTTTGTACTAGCTGATTTTAATTCATCTGAATTTTTATCTTTAACGATGTCTTCTAATGAATCTATAAATTCATCTTGAGTTTCATAAAATTCCCTACATAATAAAAAAATTGATATAATTTAGACGATTAAACATAAATATACAAGATTTTTGTTGAATTTGTCAAAAAATGACAGCTAACAATCAGCGTGGCTTGATGGTTATGTTCATGACGTACTTTAAACATACCATGTTTGAACCTAGGCGCTGGCAAAGTCGCGTAATAAACTTGGGGAAATTAGTTATGTCTTAGTGCCTCGGATCACCCATCTGACAACATACTCACTACGTTGTGATACATAATACAACTTTTCCAGCATGGCTTTTCGGAAAGCTAGTATATGCTTAGTGAAGTGTAATTGAATGAAAGAATTCTGCGTCAAGCTAGCCTTCTGATCAGAACTGTGGTTGATGACTAGTAACAAGATGGGTGACCATTTCAGAAGCTTGTCAACGACTGGAAAGATATCGGTCTATTGAAACTACCATTCGACAGCACCCTACACCGGTAACGATAGCCGCAAGGTGGAATATTCTTCCTTCTCCTTCTTTCTGTCAAAAAAGAAACAAAGTTTTATTTCATACCTAACTTTTTTTGGTAGCCTTTTGTCTTTAGCGTTATACAATTTTTTGAAGGATAAGACATGTTCTATAGATCCATATACAAACGGCTGTTCTTAAAACAAAAAGCATACATCAAGAGTTATTCATTTAAAAAATCTATTATCCAAAATGAAAATTACTTTGTTCAGTCTTATTAATAACAGCTGGATCATCGACAGGTTGAACTTGATTGTCACTCTTATCCGACTCAAAGTTTGGGTTCGTTTTGGAAAAAATGACTTTTAAGTCGTCGTTTTGTTTAGAGCCAGTTTTACTGAATCGATTACGACTCAAAATTCTAAGTGGCACACGTTTTTGAGCTGTATTTACATCATCGTTATTAGAATCAATTTCAGTTAAAGGTTTGAATGAGCTCATGGTTATATTTTAAAAACAAAATATATATTTATCTAAAAATAGAAACGAACAATAAACTAATCTTTCTAACCACTATAAATTTGATTTAAATTCGGCTAGTGTAATAAAGAGATAAATTACAACAATAATAAATCATGTTCCTTCAACTGGAGCCTATGTCGTTGTTCACTTTTTGTCATTTTCTCTATCTGAACTAGCATTGTATATTATGCACTTTCTCGAAGGTACAAGATGTTTTCAGTGCATTCAGTATATCTTCGATGAATCGTACTATCTAAGCTTTAATGAGGAAAACACTAGAGTGTAATAAGAGAATAGGAATAATTTCATCTTGCTTTTCAAGATTTTTTGTTCTTATTTTAGCAAAATATTTTTTGAAATATGAAACTAGCACTCTTCAAAATACCCAAAAAAATCGTTACATGTATCTATACATATTGTGAAAACTTCATCAAAAATAAAATTATCTTACTCTTATTCTACTCTGAAAGCCAAGGTAAGTCTCTGGTAAAATAGAATCAATTCTATCATTAATCCAATATTTTTTTCTGAGATGAATACTATGAAATTTGTGAGGTATTAAAATAACTGGCTCAATTAATCATAATGCACTTTATTGTATCCTATCTTACTATTATAAGAATCTAGTTTTGTGTAAAACGTTTTCTTATCCCTTTCTTTTGTTAAGGTAAATATACCACATGGTTTTTTTCAAATAATCTATGTACATCAACCTTACCATTTTGTTAGAACGAAAATATTATATATATAATAAGGTAAATGAGTGATGCTACTCCGGCGAAAAGCTATTATTTTATTCTAATATAATTTAGCTTTAATAAACAAACTTTGTTTTTCTAAAACAGTGTTAAGATCTAGAGCGGTATCGCTTTTGAAAAAATAAATTTATTTTAAAATCAAATTTTCAAAGGAAATATTATTTACAATGTCATTTTGAAGATATTCCCTCTTTTTTTTCTAAAAATATTCGATTTTGTGTTGAACATAGTCTAATGTGGAAAGAAGTTTGAGCTACAAAATAAGACCACTTCCGACATTCCACCACCTTTTCTGAAAGAGTTATAAGATTTTTAAGCTTTTGTTCAAAACGCTAGAAAAACTGAACTTTTTTAATTTTATGACATTTTTTTCTCCTTTTCAGCATCTTCAAGATTTTTTCTTCTACATAGAGCAACATGTTCTGATGTTTCTCAGCAGAAAAATGAATGTTAGAGCAAATGTGAAGAAAATGCATCCTCTCTAATGTTAAAAACACTAGTGGTTCCAATTGATGTACATTATTATCTGGTCGAAATTTCATCCGATCGAGTCAAAAAATTTTATCACCAGCATCTTGGACCATATCTCGGAATGTTAGTTTTATTTTTTCTTTCTGACCTATACGGTTTTCGAAATCAAAAACCAAGGTTTATGTATAACTTTTATCATTCTTCTATATATTTTAAATAAAAGAAATTGAAAATTTGCATTTGAGATATCGTTTTAGGTATCTGTGTTAAAATTTTGTACTCAGTCGGATGAATACTAAAGTTTTCTAGAGATATACAAATGAAACAACAACAACAAGGCATCCATCTTTGCCACACGTTGACCGAATGAAATCCTTTTGAAAAGAGACAACGATAGTTCAAGGTGCGGTAACCATCCTTTGAATATACCGTAAGAAAAAACAGAATGTATCGTGATTCGAGCGAATGACATGTACCGAAAATACTTCTTAGATACCGGATGAATGAGCAAGAATTTGTATACGATCATGGCACATAATTCGGGACAAAAGTACATTAAGCGAACATTAGTATAGTAGTGATACACTATAACGGTATCAAATACAATCGTTCAGTAAACCAACAGTTCAATCCGTCGTTTTTTATGTTCTGTCTCTAATAGGAATTTGAATTCAATCCATCGTTCGTCCTACATTAACCAACAAACTGAAGAGTGCGTATGTCCGACGGGGAATTACGCCTCATTCCCGTTACGTTAATATTTTAAAACAATCTTGAAACAAATAATGAGTAATGTGGTCGGAATTCTATTTCTGATTGGCATTTTGTTTTCTCACGAAACTTTCATAATGACTATATAATTCACTCGTTTATGGAAGAATCTGTAAATAATTTACACAAATCATTATGAACTCTTTTTTAAACGGTAAATGGTATCTCAATTCCAGACATGTCATAATACGGATACAGAATGTACCCATGTAGTCAAAATCGGCAATAAATAGACGACTTTTTAGCGATTTTAACTGTTAAAAGCAATTAATCGTCGAGTTTGACAGTTAACTGGACGCCTCGGTTCAAAGCTAACTTAAATCGAAACAACGAGTCAACTCTGAGGAAACTACAGAGAACACTCTTGGCTACTCCGTTTTAAGCTAAACTAAAAATATAATCTGAAAAGAAGAACATTTCTCGTTGAAATCATGTTTCTCATATACTTACTCTACTGCAGAATAAAACGGTGAATAACAAAAAACTATTTAATGGCTTAAAATCAACAACTAATCGCAATTAATTGACTATTATTGAAAAAAACAGAAAAATTACCACGATCGCTAATTAATCATAATTAATTTGCGATGTTTTTAAGAATGGCGACATATCGGTGATTTTTAACAACTGGCGATTTTCACGCAAGCCGATTAATCATTAGTTGTTAAAAATTGGCAATATATCGCAATTTATGGACGATTGCAGTCAAAATTGCGCTTAATTAGCGATTTTATTGCTAATCACAAGTAATCGTCCAGAATGGAACGATTTCAACGACATGGGTATCTGCTGATTATTGTATTAATTGTTGATTTTGCAAACCGAAATTGTGACACTGCTGAAAATCATTATGTCTATTTTGCATATAACCTTTTTACGACGCTTTGAGTTCACCTCGATGAATTCATCACTTGCATCTAACCCCAGTTTAGGTGCTGATGTCATTTGATTTGCTTTTGACTTTAATAATGATATAATAGTAGAGGAATTGTGTTGATAATATGCAAGGTATGGTTCCGATGCGTTTTGATGTTGGTTTGAAGTATTTGATATCACCGAAGGTATACAAAGTTGACTTTCACGACCAGTGACCGGTCGACTTTGTAACATCTCTTGTTGTTGATCTAGGTTATTATTTAACATAGATATTTTCATTTTGATACATCTGGTTATAGGTTACATGGTTAACTCGAGCATTTTGACTGTGATAATGCTGGTAAAAAGGAGCCTCCAGATGGCTAATTCCATTTTGACTTATATTTTGTTGATTCCTATTATCCATTACGTAGTAAGATCTTCCATTTTGCTTAATTATATTTCCTTTATTTATATTGTCTTGTTGTTGCTTATAATCATTCATAAGTATCATTTGAGTTGTCTATGGGTAAAAATTACTATTAGATTTTCTCATTTTTATTCACGTGTACAACTTGTAAAAAGAACTCACTAAAGATCGGCCACTTCTTTCAACAAAATCGGGTAAAAAAGATGAAAAAAAGACATGCATCTCTACTATTAGACTGATTGAAGTTCATTGATGAACACTAGAAGGCAATATAAAATATATAGAGGCACGTGGGGCAATTAGAACGCGGTCAAAAAGTTTTGCGGCATTTTTCGTAACTTTGAAAGCTTAGAAGTTTTCACAAAACTTCCAATGCAAGAGTTGTAGACGATGGTAGTAGGCACCGAATGGTGCAAAAATCACTCGAAAATCTCACCAGCAAAAGGATTGGCAGCAGTTTTACTGTGAGAGGATTGGAAACGTTCTTATTTCCGGCAAATGGGAAATTAGAACGTCTGCTGTGTCTCTATGGGATAAACGGAACGCATCTACCAAAACACATGAGATTTTTTCATGCTTAATTATATTTCCTTTATTTATATTGTCTTGTTGTTGCTTATAATTGTCCGCCATATATAAGACTCCAATTTCAAAAAAATTCTGTGCGTTCCTATTTCCCACAAGTGGGAAATTAGAACGTTTACTGTGTATGGGGTAAATGGAACGCATCTACCAAAAGTAATGGAATTTTCTTCAAAATGTATTTTCTATTTTATATCTCTACTTCACACTATAGACGCGAAGTTCCTTAGAAAAATATTTAGAGAATTGTTTCACTCATAAGCTAATGTGATTTGGAAAGTCAATGCAAGTACTCCGGAATATGACGGAGAGCACGAAGAGCATTTCTCCATGCTCATATAACGGGAGCATGGAGAAATGTAAAGGATTATTTTGAAAAAAATTTCTAATCGCAATAAAACTCTGTAAATCATATGAGCGGTGGCGTATGCCTTATGCGAAATGTAGAGGA